AACCAAGAAGCATTCCAGCTTTCAAGGCATGCCTTTCCATTTGACTAAGGCTTCTCAGCGGCATCACAAATGCTGCACTTGACACCCTTCTCTTTCATTTTCTTTTTATCTCATCTATACTGTGTAAGTCGTTAGAAGAGTTGCTTCTCACTTTTTCCAAAAAAAAGTTTCTGGGCAAATTCCAGATCGGAGTAGACGCACTCGTTTTGTACGTGTGGAGATAAGGTTTCTTAGGGAGAGGGTTAAAGTTTTGCAGCAAAATCTAATTGGAGAGCGTAGTTATGAACGATATCATTTTCAATCTACACCACTTCATTTTATTTCCAGTGTGCTTTTTTCAGTGCAATATGGGCCCTATTCAGTTCACCTGTCGTGCAACCCGTACCACCTATTTTGCTTTCAGCCTGACTATGTTATAGTGCTTTGTGGTAGGTAAGCCTGTTTCGACGACACGCAGTAAGACTTCCGTAGTTACACCAGAGCTTGTTCTTAAGAAGAACGCGAGTAAAACAGGGCGAAGAGGCAAAGAAATATTCTGCATTCGTTTTTGTCCGTCATGTCATGAGATTATACTACAGTAAGGCTCTTGGCAAAATAAGGTTACGAACAGCATTCAGAATATGGCACTGAGGGTTGATCTGAAGTCCACACTGGGGAAACCGGATTTTTTCAGTGAACAGGAGTCAAAACATTGGTTTCTTTGGCGACTAGACCCTCCCTTTTGTAGAATCGGTTATTCCCAAGAGCATCAATATGTACGGCTTGAATAGCCTCATATCACAAAATTCCCAAACAGGAAGAGTCCATTTCCAAGTGACAAACTGGCCAATGCAACCAATGCAATGTATACGTATGACTCTGTAGAGAAACACGCCTTAAGACCTTCTTCAAATGTTTCTTTGCGTCCTTTTCCAGTTCAGGAGACTTTGGACGGCAGTGTGGACTAGGACCTGCCCTTCTTGCAAATTTCAAACATAGCTTCTTATATAATAGAAGGATGCTTCTCACAACAACTCGATGTACCTGCTCGCGAATCCGTGTTATGCAATGTTGTCTATATGACAGAAAAATTCCCTTCTGTTTACTCTTGCAGCACCATACCCAAAAATCTTCGAAAAACTGGTGGGCCAGGGTTGACCCGAAAGAAATTATTCAAACCTGAATAAGCTCTTGTGTTGTGTGGGTTTTCGTGAGTTTTCTCCTCACCTCCAGAACAGAACGTCCAGAACAAGCAAAAGGTACGAATTCTGTTTTATTCTTATATCCAGCTTCCTGTCATCCACGGATGCGAACCCTTCTATATTTTGATAGCTACATTGCTCGGGGAAAGCCCGATGGGAATTGCTGTGCCCTTCGATTCTGCTGATCCGTCGCAATCCTTCTAGATTTTTTCGAATCGCTCAAAGAACACGTCATGCTTCCATTTCTATCAATCTCATTTCTTCTGCGTGTATGTGTATCGATACCGTTTTCGTTCCTGTGAGCTAGCTATCTGCCACCTGAAACACTCTGGGAACACTTTAGGCCCTCGTTGACTTCTCATGCATATCTGCAGATTGTTTGATCTGCTCCCTCAAAAATGCTCTTCCACCTGTCCACTTGGGTATTCACCAAAATAAACATCCTAAGTTGTGATGCCTTTCACTGATGAGAGTTGATGCATTGAGATAGACTGTTAGTTTCTTTCATAATTTTATTACACGATGCTATAGTTATAGTTATTATATGCTGCTATAGTAGCTATATATAGACAACACAATAAGTGGAAGTGCAGTAGCGTCAAAAAAATCGTCACAGATAGTCTCGGCACAACTCTTGTCGTTATGAGGATTTGACGGTGCCTTCGCGGTCTCGAATCGGATGTAACCTACTACCATGATGGTCGCTGTAATTCGGATGTTACATATTGCTCGCTCCAACCACCTACTGAACTCCTGCGAGAAGCAGCGTCAGCGACTTGCGCTGCACACTACCTCCGATCTTGAGAAGGCGTTAAAATGTCATTGAAACAACAACCTATAAGATTCGAATTACTAAGAAATGCTGACTATCGAATGCAGCATAGAACACGTCATTGACGAATGAATAAATACTATTATATATGCATACATATGGACAATGCGAAACAAAAAGAGATTTCAAAGAGGTGAATAGGTTTGAAGAAAAAGCTTGCGTACGAAACATGAATTGCAAGGAACTAGATTTCAATACTCTGGAGGAACGACCCACTCCTTTTCCAGGAACCCCAGCCCACCATGGTCATGTCGCTGCATGCTGGCGACAACAACTGTAAGGCTGCTTCCATAGTCCATGATTTGGACCGCGAGCGATCGAGCGATTGGGGTGGCGCTCGGCCCTTGTTTACAATTGAATCTTGGTTGATACCACGGGTAAGCGCCGCCCCAATCGCTCGCTCGCGGGCCAAATCGTGCACTCTGAAAGCGGCCTAACGCGTTGGAGCGCTATGTTAATTAGCCTAGCACTTAGAATGACCATGTCGCTTCATTCTACTTCTACCCTGACTGCAGAGGAAGCGAAGTAGAAGTGGAATAAGGTGTGTCGAGTTCAATCTCCAAGCAGAAAATGGAAAAAATGAAAATGTAAGTAGTCAATGGACTTCGCCGAAATTAGTTTGATAGAAAGTGGTTTTTTGTGTAACAAATGTATTTAATTTTTGTTGGAATAATATAATAGAGAAAAAACTCTGTTGTTTTTTGGAAAAGTGAAAATTGATTCGTTAAAAAAAAATTTCTGTGCAAACTCTAATTCGAATACGTTTCGCATTTTTATGGATGGTAAATATTAGCCGGACTAACCGAAAAACGGAGTTGACGAGAGTTGCCGCTAAGAACGTCTGTGATGATTTTTTTTTGAAAGTAACGTAAAAGCACCGGTTACAATACCCGATGAAACCTGCTGAGTAATATAAATGAGACAACGAACATAGGGCATTAAAAAAAATTATCAAAGTGGGCTTTATAGAGCCTCCGGCCTGGAGGATAGAGGGGATTCTCAGAAGAGGACAGTTGCGCGCTTGGTGACGAGCCACGACTCAATAGAAGCTTTTTGCCACTGTTTTCTTCTGCGGTATTCTGCATAAGAAGATACATATGTGCATGAGTACTAAAGATTTCATCTGAAACGAGATACACATGAAGCACTTTGAAATGATGTGTAAATAATTCAAGAATGAACCACGGGGCATGCCTAGGCAGCAGCTGCAGCTAGAAATCTTCCATTTCTCCTCGGTAGATTCCGCCGCGGTAAGGACGCGCGACCTTCCTGCATTTCACAGCAAAAGCTCAGATTATCCGTGAAGGCGATAAGAAGTTGAATATACGCCAGGAACTGAAAGGCAGCCGATATAATGTAGTCCATTATAACGACAACATAAAAATTAATTTAATGAAATGATATAAAATAATATAAAAATAAACAGCCTACCACAGCGATTGTGCCATCAACTTCAGACTCGTGTAATGAAAGCAAGACGATTCGCAGCAAAGAAAGAATTGTTAGAGAGAAAATTCGCACGAAAGCCTGAAAACAGTCGAATCCGCCAGCATAAAGAACTGCCTTCTAGCTTTCTCAAAGGCACAGTTCACGATAAAAATGATTCCTGAGCTTCCTCCACAGGATGAATTCGAGGTCCCCGCGTATACAATATCTGGCACTATTAGGTCGGGAGACGACCTAGTTAGGGATTTATAAAGGCTCAAAGATTGGCCCGTGTGTATCCTCGGACGAGTTTCACCGGCTCACCGGCATTGTAGAGGCCGCACCGATCACAAGGGAACCCATGTAGGAAGTTCAAACAACTTATCGTGACCCTTAGCGACGGTGAATGACAGTCCTGTACAGTTGTGGCTTGATGTAGTCAGCTCTTTGTGCAATTGCAATCACTGTAATCTCGTCCGAATACCCCTTACATGTTATTTCCGTCATGACAATCTCATCCAACCTCTATTTTCCCTAATTTTGAGGAGCCATATTTTCTCAAAGTCAGTGGATTCTCTCGCTTTTCTCACTACCGATGAACTAATCCCAGTCTCTGCTTCTGCTTTTCGAATAAAAGCGGGTACCTCAGAATCATCGTGAACTGTGCCTTTAAGATTCTTCAAAGACACTTGACTTTCTCTCAGGCAAAATTTAACTGATACTTACTTTCACTTTGCTGATATGCCAAAGTTTTCTTATGTGAGCTCCTGAGTACGGATTTCGCGAAAGGTACCAGTACTGAGTACAGATGAGGTAGAAAACACCGGTGATCATAGGTATTGACATAATACCGTCGAGAATTAGGTGCTGAGCGCATGACACTGTACCGACTAGCTGCAACTACGGGATCAAACAACAACAACAGCGATGAATTAAAATAGAAAGAATCAAGTAATAAAGTCTTCTCAAGATTCTTTGCTTGAATTTGAGAGGGAGAGCACGTCAATTACCCATTCACTCGGTATGGCAGAGCAAGGTTATTATTCATTTGCGTCTTTGAGCCTGCCTGATAGTCATACTCAATTTCCACGTAAAACGTATTCCTTTCAGGAAATGCTACAGTACTGCCCAACACTCGAGCATACATTGAAGAGGCTCTCTGTGAGCAGCGGGATCCTCATATCATAGGTTCAGGACCCTTCACCAGATATTACCCATCGAAAACCACCAAAAGAAAAAGGACGGTACCCTGTAAGATGTAAGCAAAGCGTGAAAGTGCACTGAATTAGTATACAATGTGAATTGCGAAGAACAACTGGCTTTTCTGCACATCTCGACCACGTGGGTCACCTGTGGAGAGAGGGTGCCTGACGACCCTGGGCGAGATCAATCCTGCATCTACAAGTTTGTGGAACGCCTTTCGCAAAAGAAAGTTTGTAAGCTCTTACTGTGTGGGAGTTTGTAATATGATGACCAGAGCGTATGGTGCTATCCCCAACCTGCTCACACCTAGTTGTTAATTCAATTCTTTCCTGTCAATGCCCTAGCCAGCTGTCTTGACCCTAGTATATTCCGTGGAATTCTCTGTTGAAGCGGCAGTGGTATGCCTTACGAAAATGAGACCCATTACCTCTGCAAACCATCATATACATAGGGTTATGGAAATACTGAAATCTCACCAATGCATAGCGATGAAGTGAGTTGAAAAGGTTGTTCTGGTCATAGTTACTCATCCTGCAGGCAGAAAAATTCCTGTGATATGTACGAGCACCACCTTAATGAATTTCATTTGTATTTCCAAGAATGTCATGGACTTGTATTTTAGGGAAGACGCTGTGACTAAACTGTAATGACTCAGCGAGTAGGGTTCATCCGAAACCAGATAATCATTTCAACAAAAAACGAAGAAGAAAGGGTAAAAGAATCTGAGTCTGAGTACAAAAAAGGGAATGTGGGTCGGCACGTACGGACAAGGTCATAAAAGTGATTTGATAGAGATTCAGATATGTCAGAGAGCAACGTTGTTTGTTAAAAGAGTACATTGCACGAAGAGTGGCGGAGGATTGCACAAGGCCGGTTTCTTCAAATAACAAGATGGAAGCTGATCACTTCTTGAAAATGGTACTGACAATGAGCATTAATTCCTGAGCAAGAAATTTTGAAGTAAAACATTCTTAGTTGAGAAACGATGGCTCCAGCCCAAAATACAGAACCGTTTCGGAAAGCCGAGCCTCAAAAAGCGACTAGAAACGCAACAAAGAGCTTTCACTGGCAGCATCAACGCTGGAAACCCGTCTCAATCACTAAAAGGCCACCGTGTTTCCATGTCCCGTGAACTACAGGCTCCCAATCAGCATGTGTGACGAAGACGCCATTGAAACTCATAGCACCGCTCAGAGAATCGTTCTACACATTTGATGGGCAGACGGGCATGATCACAATGCAAAATCTCGTCTGTGGTGCGTCTCCGGACAACAAGCGGGCACTTTCATCAAAACAACCAACAGCACACAACAAAGCCAGAAGTGGAGTCGAAGAAAAATGTGGAACTGCCTGACGTAGAAATATTCGTTTTCCTAGTCAGATGATGGCGAAAACCTGCGCAAAGGAAGCAGGTGGCGGGCGACTTTGAAACCATTAACTTCACGTCGTGGAAAATTTCGAAGAACACGATAAGTCGTAACGACTCATGGGTCGCAGAGTGACTACTACTGGCATGACACCTGACGCTGACGTGAGTCTATTGGCATATGCCTAATCTCAAAATTTATTCAACGTTCAAGTTATATATGAGTACAAATTGCGTTACTCTGTGAGGCTGGTATCAAACACCCAACCTTATACAACTCCAAAACGTTGCTGAAGATCAAAGTTTTTGACTTTAGTCTGAGCATTGGGGAACGCAAAAGAAGGGCTAACCAAAGTAATGAGCCTTGTATGTGACAGAAAACAGATGGCGCAGAGATAAAGGTGGTGGATGTTGAACGGTGTTCAAAGACGTTTGCCATGTACAGAAAACTGGATCCTCATTCATGAAGGGCAAGACATAAATGACATGACACGACATTCGCAAGACACATTCAACCCACCAAGAGATGCAGCTTTTCACAAAAAATGGACTTGGAGAAGGGGCCAATTTAGGGGCACGACGATTCTGCAATATGGGCAATTGTGTGTCCTTGTCATAGAGTTTTTCATCAGAGGCATCCCTCACACTTTAAAGGGGGAGTAGTTGTTGATGAGGAGCAGGCAATGATCATGCTTGATCCTTCCCCCGAATTACCCATTAGGGTTCCATTCAAACGTCAAGAAGCACACCAAGGGATACTAAAGTCATTCGCACAAGAGGCATTGGCCGATTATGCTAACTCATTCATTTTCAGTAATCCTATTAGATCTCAGCTGGAAGTTTAGATGGCCTCGGTGGGAATCGGTGGGTGTGGTGCAGTAGGAACGAGCCGTCGCGTCGCGGCGAGAGAGACGTCGCGCGCGAAGGAGTATAGCAGGATGCATCAGCAAGTAAGAAATATAGGAACAAAAGAACAAACAGTAGAATCATGCTAAAAGTAATAATCGCATAGCGATTGAGCTGTACGAAGAACGCTAGGACTGTTAAAACGAGGCAAATGGTCCGCGAGCGCCGCGTGCGGCGGATCGATTACCCAAAACCGTTCCTACTACCCGGCTCCCGGAATCGGTCCTTCACATGACATTGGATACTATGCATCACTTCCAGGTCCCGGCTCCCGGAATCGGTCTTTCACATGACATTGGATACTATGCATCACTTCCAGGTAATACCTTTTCACTGACGTTTTCATTAACTATTTTGCGTCGAGCAGAACAAGTAGTGAGCTATAAATGGAATCTTCATTTCGGAGCCCACGTGAAACTTTTTTGAAGACACAAAGTGACGATATTCACAATGTTTTCGTGTGTTCGAATGTTCAACGAACATTACAGACGCCATAAATGGAATAGATGGAACTCGGAACCAGTTCTGAATACGATTTTTCAAGGAACACCGAATGAACAAGGATTCTTTCGCTTACCAGTTACCATGGTCACTGGCCACATTTACTGAACAATTTCTTTTCTGAGACCCGAGAAGCTATCTGCCATCCAGAAAACTTACTACCATCGAGGTCAGAACAAGGACGAGGAAAGTAGCCCTGACTCTCTAATCCGTGAAAGAGGCGATCTATGTACCTCCTTTTATGTTGACACCTTTGGCCTCGGTCTGCTAGTAGTATGTTAGCCATTTGAGCCCGTCGTTGTAGGAGGGAATGATGCCAAGCAATTCTTCGACAATGCTGGTTCAGTTTGAAGAAGGCATTTGAGTGCTTCTGCAAATCCGGATCAAAACCGCTCTGTGGAACGGAACAAGACTGCGTCGTTTTGCAGTCCGACAGCAACATAACATTGTAGAAAACTAGTTCGAATCATCCTATGTAAATGTTACATCAGCGAGGGTAATATGATTGACGGGATAGTAGATGGAGAGAACAGCTGTGCTCACGTACTCATGTTGGTATTCAGGATAAAAAGGCTGTGCAGGATAGTTGACATTCACTAGGAAATAGAAGTGTCGAATGTTCAGAAGCGCGTAATGCATGGTCAAAGGAAAGACAGCTGAGAATACTCGGAGAAAGATGACCGCTTTTGCAAATGGTTTTGAGGGCAGTGCGGGCAGAGATCTCTCTTCTTTACGTGAAATTCAATGATACGACCCATTTTTCAGATGCCTGCGGATTCCCTGCATCGGAAGCTGAATGATGAAAGCTCTCGACTGCTACGTAAAACACCAATTTGGAAATAGAGGGGAGCGTGAAGGTGATGAGGATCAAAATAATGCAAAATAATGATGCAAAATTTGCCTATTTATACCTTCAATAGGTCCTCCTTATCTATAGGTCTTAAGAAGAGACGGTCGTCTGAACAAATCGAGTAACGATGACAACAACCGAAATTTGCTTGCAGCTCAGTGATCAAAAAAGTTAGCGGGTCGAGGAACCCTATTTAGAAGTGTTCGTGTTTGTGACTCTCAAAAATGTTTATCGGAATCCGTTTCACTGCCTCGCTGATTCCGATTAGACAAACACTGAAACATTCAAGAGACTGCCGTGAAAACATGCAGTCACACTACTTTCGACATTCTTTGATTCAACAGACACCGTTCTCAAAGTCTGAGAGGTGAAAACAATTATTGGTCAACAATTATGATACACCAAGAATCCTTATGACGGTGATATTGACGAACAACTTTTTGCTTCGTCACTTATTCAGTACTTGTTCATATATTTATATTTAGTAGTAGTCAAACAAAAGGAGTAATAATGGTTAAAAGGATATCAAATTATCGTGGCAAGCATAAGGGGTAGGAGTGGAACACCGTTTAAGGCTGAATGGGAAGGGTTATTAAAACAAATGCTAATATCACCAAATAATTTTAGTGAAACAACGCAAGTGTATAAGTATCCCAAAAGATTCTGGTCCACAAAGGAGCAGCGAAAGCTACATAATGTTGAATCTCCAAAGCTTCAGTGAACATTTGCGGAAAATCTCCCAACAATCTGAAAATTTGCCCAAGTCTGAAAATTGGAAAAAAGTTGAAAATTGAAAAAAATAACGAATCAGATCTCAATTGGGGGGAGAGGGTTAAAGACCAAAAGTTGAGGAGACGGGCGGTAGGAACGGTTTCGTGTTATTGATTCGCCGNTGTTAGTTCTTTCGTTCCTGTATTTCTTACTTGCTGCTCCATTCTGCTACATTCCTTCGCGAACGGCGCCTCTTTCGCCGCGGCGCGACAGTTTCGTTTCTACCGCACCACACCCCGAAACTTGCAGTTGTCATGGTATGTAGTTCCAATTGGATGGCTCGAAACAACTCTGTTAAAGGGTAGTATGAATCCTCGGTCAAGAAAGCTGAGTCTACGACATGAGTTGTGGCAACTGAAGTGAAAGGATAAGAAAGAACAAGAATTTGCTCTGTCGAACTGAATTTCTTGGGAATACGTACACTCGTTAGAATTCTATCCAGAATCATAACGGCGTTCCCTCCTAGAAAACCGAACAGCTGCCGAATTTTTCATAACGGCGTTCCTTCCTAATAGACTGAACAGCTGAGGAAGTTTTTGAAGTTCGTGGCATTTGCCAATCAACTAACTAATGTCATCAGAAAAAAGGATAATGGCAAGGCAAACACGACGAACATGAGTTATTTTGAGGTTGTGAACCAGTTTCTCTTCATACCCAAGGAGCGAAGGCGCGAGCCTTTTCTCAAATAATCAGTGCCCCATCATCTCTGTACGTAGTAATTCCCTGTTGCCTAACTGAACTTGAACTACTGAGCCCTGTGAACTCTTAGGAAGTCAGAAGTTTGTTCAGAGTGGAAGGTATACTTACCTTTGGATGGCACTCCCACTGAGAGCAACTGATACTCCCACAGCGTAGATATCCAACGTTTCGAAAAAAAANAAAAAAAAGTCGACTGACTTTAGCGAACCATGCAAAGTTTTATGTATCTTAACAGACATAAAAATTTATGCATATTGAGATGAACTCAGATCACTTCAAGTCCTATGTCATGACAGAGAAAGTCGAAAGTCTATGGGTTGTTACCGGGTACGAGTTTGAGTTACCCAAAAAATTCGGCTCAACTTATCGCGGATGAGCTTCCTTCGTCTGGTTCGATGACCTATTCCCAATCTTCCCATTCCAGGATGATCGTGCCC